AAACTTGTGTAATTGTGGTCGTTGTTGGTTGCGTGGAAGATGATGCTGACTCACAGTGACCCCATGTGGGCTGGCCTTAGGACTGTGCTCCGTAGGGTTGTCGATGGCCAAGTTTTTGGAAGTCGATCAGCAGCCTGTGACCTTTCGGAAGCAGATGACCAAGCCTGTCTTCCAAGGTGCCTCTGGGTAGGTTTGAAGTGCCAGCCCTTTGGCTAGTAGTTGAGCGCTTAACCGTTTGCACCACCCAGATGTTGTGGAGCAGGATCCAGGCCCGGGGTGGGCTAAGGACCGGAGCCTGGGGACGGCTGCGCTCTGCTGTGTGGCCCTCCGCTTCACCAGACTGCACTGCTGTATGAGTGAATGAACAAATGCATGAATGCATGAGCGGGGTTAGGACATAGGACCCTGCTTCAGAGAGAACTGGACAGCAGGGTTCTTGGGGATAAGTGGCCCTTCTCCAGTTCTGCAGTTTCCACATGCAGTGCAGTTGCCCGAGGCTGTCCCGGGAGAGATGCAGCTTGGCTGGCCCTGAGAGCCAGTTTGCCAACACCCTTAGCCTAAAGCTCTCTTTTCTCAACCCACTTATCCCTTGCAAAATGCCCAGAGCCAAATGAGTCCAGGGCAAATCAGGCATATAGGGTGTGGACCTGTAGCAACTGGAGGAAGCCGAGCTATTTCTACTGATGAAATCCTCTGCAGCCATTAAGATGATAAATGTGACTGTGTGGAAATAGGAGGATGTGTTGAGTAATAGTCACACATACCTGAAGATAGCAATGAAAGCAGTGTGCGTTGTTACATGGATAGATTGGGAGAAAACAGAGGAATGAAACCTGTGTAAGGTGCTGGGATCCCATAGTATCACCATCTGGTTAGTCTGCGCAACTGGGAACTCTCGGGTCATGGCCCACGACTCTTCCTCTTCCCGTGGATTCAACCACTTCCAAGCTCCTGTTGGTTGTATGTCAGTATCTTCATTCTGGTACCTGCCCTCATCTCCAACAGGAACCCTGGTGGGGCAGTGGTTAAGCACTCAGCTGCTAACCAGAAGGTTGGCAGTTTGAATACCAGCCACTCTGTGGGAAAGATGTGGCAGTGTGGTTCTCTAAAGACTGACAGCCTTGGAAACTCTCTAGGACAGTTTTACTCTGTCCTATAAAGATGCTATGAGTTGGAATCGATTCAGTGGCAAATGGTTTTGGTTCAGTGTCTTAATTCTGGTGGCTGTCCTCATGTCCACCACCTGTGTCCTAGGACAAGCTCTCACTGTCTTTGCCTGGACCCCACTAAGCCTCTTAACTATCTGCTGGCCCCATTCTCTCTCCCATTGCCATCATATTGGACACTGTGGCCAGAGTGATTTTAAAACACACGTAACGATGTCTCTGCCCTGTGTGGAAGCCTCCACTTATTTCCTGTTGCTTTTAGGAGGGAAATCTAGATGCCTTCATGTGACATATGAGCTCATTTACTGTCATCCACCCCAGTCTTTAGGAGCTCTGATGGCATAGTGCCTAAGGCATTTGACTGCTAACCAGAAGGCTGGTGGTTCAAACTCACCAGCCACTCCTCCGAAGGAGGGTTAGGCAATCTACTTCCGTAGTGATCTGCCTTGGATACCCAAGATGAGGTTGCTATGAGTCGGATCCGACTCAATGGCAGTGTGTTGCATTGCACTGTTTGTACCTCAGTCTTACCCAGCACACCCTGGAGGCCCCTCCCTCTGTACTTCTGTGCTGTTTCTTCATTGAATCTCTTTGAACTCACAGTGATCCCATATAGGGTTTTCCTAGGCTGTAGTCTTTATGGGAGGATTTTTTGCACAAAGCGGCTGGTGAGCTTGAACCACTGACATTTTGGTGAGCAGCTGCATGTTTAACTGTTGCACCAGTAGTGCTCCTTGCCTATGACATCAAAGAAAACTAAACCAAACTTAATGTCATCTAGTCAATTCTGACTTACTGCGATCCCCATTAGTTTCTGAGCCGGTAAATCTTTACGGAAGTAGATTGCCCAGTCTTCCGTCCATGGAGTGGCTGGTGGGTTTGAACCACCAGCCTTCTGGTTAGTAGTCAAATGCCTTAGACAGTATGCCACTAGAGCTCCATTGCCTCTGACATATAGCAAACCAAAAAACAAACAAACAAAACTTAGTGCCTTTGAGTCCTTTCTGCCAGGTGTTAACAGTGTGGAACTGTTCATAGCATTTGCTTGGCTGTAATCTTTATGGAAGCAGATTGCCAGGCCTTTCTAACATGAAGCTGCTGGGTGGGTTTTAACCGCCATCCTTGTGGTTAATATTCATGTGCTATCTGTTTACCCCACCCAGGGACTTAGGACAGTAGACAGGCAAAAATGCATGTTGATTGATAGAATCAGTGATTGAGTGAAACACTTCATTCTTTATGTTTTCAAGTCGACTTAATAATAAATAAAAACTTCAAAGAAAAGAGCATTTAAAGAAAGCAACAGGATTGTCTGAAATTTGACAGACTAAGCAGGCAATAAATACAGTGTAAGCGGAGGCATGAGCAAACTGTGGAGTGGACAGATTGGGTTCGAATCCTGGACCCATCACGTCCTGAGCCTCCGTTTTCTCATTTATAACATGGACATGATAATAGCACTGCACAGAATGGCGAGAGAGGAAATGCGAGTACAGCACATGGTACAGTGCCTGGACCACCCCAAGGCTTCAGCAAATGCTACTGCCTGTTCACGGTGCTTGAAAGCATCTTGGAGAGAGTAGTGTGCTCTTGTGTAGACATCTTCTTTGTTTCCTTCTGCTTGTTTCTCCAACAGAAAACTTAAGATTTTTAAATTGATTTGGTCATTGTTGAGAGCACAGACAGCAAAACACACAAATTAAACAGTTGCTATCTATACTGTCAGTGCCATGACCACACCCCTCGACTTGTGCAGCCATTCTCACCTTCCTTGTCTCAGCAACATAAAGCTTGTACAGCTTTGACTTCAGCTGACATGGGGTCACATTTCTGCAGAAAAAGGGTCACAGAAGAGTACATTCAGCATTCTCACCTTGTTTTTTGAGTCAGCGTGGGTCTTTCAGGACATCCACATAGTGGAACTCTTGAGTCCTCGCATAGGTCGAGGCTGACTGGCACAGAGGTACCTTGGAAAGGGGTGTCCCAGACTTCTCACAGGATGCATCCTGTTTTCCTCTGTCATTCACTAATGAGCTGTTTGTTGTAGTGTAAGCTTTTCTGGGCCACCACTGGATCTGTGTTGCCCCCCTCAGAGATAAAATTAGCAGCAGTGGGGGAAATTTGCCGGGTATCAGAATTCTGCTCAGTGTAAAAGAAGAGATTTTTCACGGTGAGAAGAGCTCTCAGTTGCAATAACGTGCTCCCCATAACTGGAGACAGTTGAGCTAAACTGCATATTCTCATGTTGAGGATACCACAGAAGGGATTTCTGCTTTTGAGGGGAGTTTGGGTTAGAAGTGCATGGTTACTCAGCATTCATGTCTAAGGGACTGGGCTCAACAACAACAACAAAACCCCAAAGCGTACCTGTCAAGTTGATTTCAACCAATTTCATAGCGACCCAGTGTGACAATAAACTGTTCGATGGCATTGGGTTGGCTGTAATCTTTGCCAGGCCTTAGGCCTGCCGTAAAACAGCATAAAACAAAACAAAATAAGGCAAACTAACTGCCATCGAGTTGGTCCCGACTCATAGCAATCTCTCCTTGGGTTTCCGGGGTGATATCTCTATGGAAGTAGACTGCCTAGTCTTCCTTCTGAGGAGTGGCTGGTGGATCTGAACCACTAGCCTTCTGGTTAGCAGTCAGATGCCTTAGGCACTATGCCACCAGGGCCCCCAAAACAGCATAAGACGGTAAAACTGTTGCACAGGGTTTCCAAGACTGTAAATATTTATGGAAGCCGACTTCCCTATCTTTTCTCCCTGCAGCTGGTGGGTTCAGACCTCCTTCTCTGTGTCCATAAACTCCCCCTCAAGTTGTATATAAATTTGTGTGCTACGTGCACTCTCCTGGGGAGAAAAATCCACAATTTTTGGGGATTTTCAGTGGGACCCTGGACCCTAAAGTTTTAAAAAACCATTTAACGCAATTTTACAAACTGAAAACCGCCCTAGGGGAGGTAACACTGTGATCATTTACACCATAGTGTTAATGAAAAAATCGGGGCTAGTTAGAAGGCATGTTTAGTTTTGGTGTGTGTGTGGGGGGGCAGGAGGGGGAGAAGGAGCAGGCTTTATGTTTTAAGCGTGAAAAAGGGAATTGGAGAAATAATGAAGAGACCGTGCCCTCAGTCACATCCAAGTTGTCTGCCCACTAGACATTTTTTTTTTTTTTTCCCAGAGCAGACCTCAGAACAAGGGCCTGATTGATCTTTGAGTGCGATGCGTGGCACGGTACAAGTCTCATGGGGCGCCTGATTTTTGTTCGCAGACTGATCATTTAACACCTCCCATGGGTGTCTGCACGATACCATCGCGGCGATAACGGTGCATCCCGGCTCTGGGGAGCCTGCCAAGCACATCTGCCCAGTCAGCGGAGGAGGAACGCTTGGTACCTGGCCCGAGGGGGAAAGGCGTGGTGCCAACCAGCCCAGCCATTTCAGGAGTGGGGGTGGTGGAATGTGGCCACTTTGCTGGGTTCAGCAGAATCCTGGCCTGCAGCCCCGAACTGCAGTTCTGACTTTTCTGAGTTTGCTGATGTGAGGCAGGTCACCACCACCTCCGAGCCTCAGTTACCCTATCCTAAAAAGAGAAAGCTGGCAGGCCCTATCTACCGGTGTCATCTCCGCGCAAAAGTACTGTCTCTTTAAGAAGGGCACGGGGCGCGGAAGAGGTAGCCGCGCCCCCTTCCTCTCCATGCCGCCAGACCACCTGTCCCCGGCTTCGCTCCGCCCCTTTCGGGAGGGGCGGGGGCGAAGGGGGCGGAGAAGGAAGGCTGAGGATTTACCTTGCAGGGCGGGAGCGCGGCGCATGCGCAAGACCAGACAGGTCCGCGGCGCCCTCACTTCCTGGCATTTCCCCCTCCCCCTCCTCGCCGTTACCCTGTACATCCGGGTCACTTGCCCTCCCTGCTCTGAGCCGCTGCTGCCGCTGCTGCTAGGGTCGTCGCGGCTCCGCCACAGGGGCAGGTGCGGAGGGGCTCCGGGTCCGGCCGCCGCTGCCTCTCCCCGCTCCGGGGCCGGGGCTCCCCCTAGCGCCGCTGAGGAGCCGCCAGAGCGGCTCGTGGAGGGCGGAGGAGCGGCGCTGAAAGTCTGGAGGCTCGAGCGCAGGGTGAGTGATTTATTTTTACCGTCTTCCCTCGCAGCCCTCGCTGTCCTCTTCCTCGACCCCATTTTGGAGGCGTGAGTGGCGGGTCCCCGCCGAGCTTCCTTCTTCCTCGTGCGCGGTGGGCCCGGCCCTTGCGCCCACCTCCGGCGCTGCGGCTGCTGCTCGGCGGACGCCTCCGAGCGCCGCGCCGCCCCGCTTCCTCCAGCCCGCGCCCGGCCGCCCCACCCCCGGCGCCCATTCATTCGGATCCTGCTTGCTTCCGCCCTTGGCTCCACTTGCAGCTCCACGCGCGTGCTCGCCGCGCCCTCGCACCGCACCCCGGATCCTGCCGCCGCGTGACCTTGTGCTCCGGGCTCTGTCCGCCCCCTCGCGTCGCCGTTGCCCCTGCGCCAGCTCCCGCCTCCCTCGCTGCCCCGGCGCTCGCGCGCAGCTCCACACCCCCTTGTGTGCGGCTCGCCTCGCCTGGCCCCGACCCTCAGACCCCCGGGTCACTGGTGAGGAAGCTGCCACACGCCAGTTCGTCTGTCACCTGTGTGGCTGGGTCTTCTGCTCACCGGCTGCCGCGTTGACCTCTTGATTTCTAGCGTTTAAAGTCCAGAGTCTCTGCTAGGGTGTGGTCTTAGAGTTTCCAAAACACACAGCTTCTACTGTAATTCCACAGATCTGGGACTGTCACACTGGAGTCTAAGTGACAATTGCTGTGGGCCCCCCTCTTAAAAAAAAAAAAATACCCACAAAACTGCTGAGCTCTTTTTTTTTCTTGCTTCCCCCCGAAAGTGTTAATGATGGGTTAATTTCTCTGACTGTGAAATCTCTGGTAGAAGGTTGTTAACTCTTTCTCCTCCTCCGGATTCCTCTGGCTCGATTCCGTGACCTATTTGCAGCCTTACCTGTTGGTACTGTTTGTTGGGGAGCCTTTTCCTTGTCTCCTCCGTCAGCAGTATTTATTGAGTGTTCCTTGTGTGTGCAGTACTGATGAGATGCCGGCATCCTCGCAGTACCTCGTGGTGCTGTTCTGAGTGCAACGGTGATTTTGGGGATTTGTGTGCACCCCCACTCCGGCGCCCCCCCCTCCCCGTTAATTTACTTTTTAATCTCTTTGCGAAAAAACGTGTCTCAAGCCATTTCGTGTTCTTAGTTTTTCCGATTGTTGTTTCAGAGGAGCGTTTTCTCTAGTAAAGGAATTTCAGTCTCTAGGGATTTATTACTGCAAAATCATATTAGACTAATGTACCTCAAGAAAAAGGCACTGATCCTTGTAATTCTTTAATTGCTTTTAATAATAGAAACAGAAGCTTTGTGTCTAGAACAACTTGGTAGTTGGGGTTTACTTGATAGTTGGTGAAGTGTTGCCGTGAACTGAAATTGCCTGATCAGCATTGGTGAAATGAAATGCCGGCACTTAGTTCTTTCCGTGTGCCTTTCTTAGCCCCAAATCATAAACTTCAGGGAGGGTTCTTAGTCGTGAAGCACATTTGCTTGCCTGTCAGTGTTACGATGCTCTTGCTATCAATATTAATACTCACCTTTTTTTTTTTTTTTTTTTCAGCAGTCATTTCTTCTAGAGAGCTAGGTATTGATGAAAAGGGGCGTCGTTTGTCCCACATTTAGGTTTTGAGTATCCACTTTTGTATACTGCGGTCTAGCAATGAGACTTACTGCCTCATAGTCAAGATTAAATTTTTCTGGCAGAGCAGTTTTGCTAGGTAACAACTTTTTAAATTCCTCAAAATTGTTAACAGTAATGTAGCTGCTGCAGAGGAAATGCCTTCTTTTGTAAAACTTTGTGGAATACATTGTCTGAACTCTAGATTCTGTGGTAATTGGATAGAGGCACTGTTTTTCTCTCCTAAGTGGTTAACCAAAAGAATTCAAGTGGAGGTGTGATGAGATTCTAGTTGTCCCAGGAACAATACAGGGGCCTAGTGGATAAGGCATTTGGCTGCTAACCAGAAGGTCAGCAGTTCAAACCCACCAGCTGCTCTGTGGAAGGACCATGGGGTGATCTACTTCTGTAAAGATTTATAGCCTTGGAAATCCATGGGGGTATTGCTATGAGTCGGAATCCACTTGATGGTAGTGAGTTTGGAGTTTTGTTTTAAACGAATACCTGCTTATTTCTTGAAGATTACAGATAACATTTAACTTAATACTCTATTCCTCTGAACTATCTGAGGTTAAGCGTGCCCCTCTTTAGATTGAGTCATCTTTGAAATAGTCATTCACCTTTATTTGTCAAATAACTGATGGAGGAGTATGCCAAACCCATTGCTACTGGGTGCTTCTGACTCATCGTGGCCCTGTAGGACAGTAGAACTGCCTCATCTTTCTCCCACAGAGCAGCTGGTGGGTTTGAACCGCCAGCCTATTGTTTAGCAGCTGAATGCTTTGACCAGTGCACCACCAGAGCTCCTGTGGTGGAGGATAGAGGGATACATACTTCATTTTACTTCTAGGCTCCTTGGAGAGAATACAGGACTCAATTAAAATATGGGCCAACTGATAAATTTTGTCACTGATAAAGAGGTTACCCGTACCAGCTGCCTTCAAGTCATGGTGACCCCTTGTGTGTCCAAGTAGAACTGGGCGCCAGAGGGTTTCCACGGGCTGATTTCTCAGAATTAGGGCATCAGGCCTTTCTTCGAGGCACCTCTAGTGGACTGAACCTCCCACACTTGGCAGCTGAGCAAGTGAACTAGTTAGCAGCTGAGCAGGTTAACCAGTTAGCTGAGCATGTTAACCAGGTTAGCAGCTAAGCGAGTTAACCAGTTAGCAGCTGAGCGTGTTAACCAATTAGCAGCTGAGCAGCTTAGCCAGTTAGCAGCTGAGCATGTTAAACATTCGTACCACCAGGGGCGTGTTAACTTTTATGTGTTAGTTGTAGTTAGGTCTGACTCATGGTGACCTTATGTGTAACAGCGAAATGTGGCTCGCTCCCTGCACCATTTCCATTTAAGAGCCTATAATTTTCTCTTTCACTGTTTAAGGAAAACAAAATGATACTTGTTAGTGGCACACCCCTATTATTTTTGATCTTTTATTTTCTGTCACTACACCAGGGCTTTTAACGCAGTGCCTGTCTGGTACATAGTGGATACTCAGTAAATGTTTTGAATAGTTGAATGCAAGGCAAGGTCCAAGAGTTTTAGGGTCTAACAGCATTTTGCAATTATGTGGCAAAAGTTTTGGATTAAGATACTGCTTGCTCTCAGCTGCAGTTTCCTCAAATATTTGGTGTATTTTAAAGATTGCTGTATTGGATTATTTAAATTGCTTTGAGATCCTTTGTGTGGGGGGTGAAATACAAGAGACATGTCATTCTGTATTGTGCTTTATTTTAGTTCACTGAATGGGTTGGTTTGCTTAGAGTTGGATGTATCTTGTCTGTATTCAATTTCTTGTGGATAGAAAGTTTTTAAAAGTCAGCAGAAAAATTCTTGGATGCATGAGCTCATCTTGTATTATGTTAATTTGTTTTTCAAAAAAAAAAAAAAAACCCCATATTTTTCATATAGGAGAAATGCAAGGCATAGTCCAGTAATGTGACAATGACAACTTAACGTTTCAGTGGCGCTGAAGGGATGACAGTATTAACGTTTACTAACAGAGTGTTCTTTGTTTGCCAGGCAGTGTTCTAAAACATATTTAATCTCTACAACAACCTTGGTTAGTAGGTATTATTGTTTCTGTTTTACAGATGAGGAAACTGAGATTAAATAGTTTTAAGTGTCACAGCTATTGAGTGATGAAGCTGGATCCCCTCTGTCTGGCTCCAGAGTTCATACTCTCAATTATTATGCTGTAATTGTTGTTGTTGTTGTTGTTACGTGCCGTCGAGTCAAACCCGACTCATAGCGACCCCTCCTTGGGTTTCTGAGGCAGTATCACTACGGAAGTAGGATTGCCCAACCTTCCTTCC